GGGCACCAAAAAGGCTAGAGCCAGCACTGTTCTCAGTCATACATCGTAAACTTCATTCAGACCAGAAAAGATCAAACGGGAGCTCCGCGCGCTCGTGCTGGTGGTTTCATTTAAGCGCGCGCGCCTGACGGATCGTGTTTATAATGTCGCGTGTCCGTGACGGAGAGCGGGGCTGAGAGCAGAGAGGAGGGACTTGACCGGAGCGGGTTCATGTCGGCTGAACGGCGCAAACATCCCCGCAGCTGAGCGACTCAGTCCGGAGCGGTCAGACTCCCTGCGGGCTTCCTTCCTGCGGACTCCCCACAACTCGTGTCGGATCTGAGCGTCCCGGTCCCGGTCCTGTTCCGGTGTCCTCCTCACCCTACAACCGGCGCAGCGCCRTTTACGCGCTCCTCTCCCCGGGGCAGCCGCTCCTCCTCCCGCCCGGGCTTCACCGGGAGCTCGGAGCGAAGGAACACCAGCGGGATTTTATTTTTTTATTTTTATTTTTATTTTTGGGCTCATGGGGATTTAGAGRGGTGACGGGCTTCCAGGAGCCGGAGCCTCCACACAGACATGGTGAGTGACGCACCTCTGCTCACCTGAGAACCTAATCCTGCAGGTGGGATCCAGACTTTCTGACGCGCGTGGAGCTCAGAGTCAGTTCAGGTGAAACAAACATGTTTTTACTCAAAACTTTTCAGGAACTTTCTCCCATCCTTTTCCACACATTTGAGCCCACTCGTGTCAAACAGGGTCTCAGCCTTGTGATGATGATGATGATGATGATGATGATGATGATGATGATGATGATGATGCTCAGACTGGGATTGACAGCTGGAGGCTGTGCTGGGAGCTGCAGGATCCTGAAGGGAACTGTTGGATTAGTGATATTTGTGCAGCTCTGGTGGATTTTTGGTAAAACAACGACAGTTTTCTGAAAGTGTCTTTAGTTTGACTTGTTGTGAGTCTGCTGTGATTGTCATGTTGTTGTTATAACAACAAACCAGTGGAGATGACTTTCATTGTGGGAATGAAGCAGAGTTTGGAGCTCCGAAGGAGCAGAACTCATTTCAGACCTCTGTCATTATTCATTATTTCAAAATAAAAGCTCAGAAACACAGATTGTAGGGGAGACCAGGGACAGTTGCAACACTTTATTTTTTTTTTACATTTGACTCTGTTACTCAGAGATGGTTTGAATTAGACAAAACAAATTTTAATACAATAAACTTACATCTGTCTGTTAATAGTCAAACCATTTATAGATGATTAAATCATGTACATTCTTCACTATTTGTATTTGAAAATGAAAATTCAGATGTTGCAACTGACCCCGGCGCCGGGGACAGTTG